AGGTTCTTCTTCAAGTTGGAAAGAAAACGAGAGAGAAAATGTACGGGGAATAGGTACGATTTCAACGTCTGCTTCCCATCCTCTGGTAAAGACGAAAACAGTTCTCTCTTAATTAAGCTTTGGAATAACCGTCTTATTTAGGTACAACAGCTTCGTAATTAGTTTAGTACGCGACATATCATCGCGGAAAGCACGATCGACCATATAATATACATTCATACAAAGTTGCACGATATTTAAGTTCACAAACTGAAATATTCGCCTTCCCCGATTGTTCCGCCGTGTTACAAAAAAGTTCTCCATAAATACTGCGTCGTAGTTGGCAAAGTAGCTAAAAGTATATACCTACGGCTAGTAGTCTTACGCCTAACGAGATTTATACTGCGAATTATATTATCTCTGTATGTATATATGTATAAACATAGTACAGACGAGACTTGATCAACTTGTTCCTTACGTTACTCATCGTTATAATACTATAATTATCATCATTATTATCGTTATCGTTACCATTATCATTATTATTATTATTACTATTATTATTCATTAATAATTATATATAATGGCGTTCCGACTATACCTTGAAAATCATGTGAATGTACATTGTAATCGTTGACGGTGAATCTCGTATATGCTACATTGCAAGAGCGATCCCTCCTCGCGCACACTTTATACAAGATAAAAAAACGCTGCCGCTTCTCGAAGCCAGCGGGAAATTATTATTAAATATAAATTACATTTCACGCACGTTCGAGTCAATCGAACATCCCCCGCAGCACTTAATGATAAACGAAAAACTGCTAATTCAACCAACTAACCAACCAACAAGAGGCATCTTCAAACCCTCCTCGGACAACGAAGAGACTTTCCCCTCTTCCCCCCCTACCCGCCCCTCTTGTCTCATTTAAACATTTAGGTAACGTTCGGAAACGAGCGAGATAAAAACAGATTTCCTGAACACTTCTCATCATCGTTCGAGCGCATAAGATTATACAATAATCTTAACGATCAATATGTATATGTATATATATATATATATATATATATATA